GTCCTCCTCTACGGGGTTGCAGTCAGCATTACTGTGAAGTTATATGGCATGATTTTTAACACTCAAAAGCACTATAGGTGCTAAGCAATACTATTTAGGAGCGTGTTGGAAGAGGAATTCTGTTCACTGACCCTGTTTGGGTCAAATCATGATAATAATCATTGGCAGCAGTGGCCTCCTTGATTAGTAGTTTTTGAGAGAAGCTTATGAGCAAGCTGAAATTCTGTGCTTGGGCTCTGGCCTTGCGTTTTGCATTGGAAAAAATGTCCAGTTTGGTGTAGTGGTTAAGTGGGCGGACTCTAATCTGGGAGAACCGGGTTTGATTCCCCACTCCTCCATCTGCACCTGCTGATGTGACCTTGGGTCAGTCACAAGCTCTGGCACAGCTGTCCTTGAAAAAGAGCAGTTTGTGTCAGAGTTCTCTCAGCCCCACCCACCTCACAGGGTGTCTGTTGTGGGGAGGGGAAGGGAAAGGAGTTTGTAAGCCGCTCTGAGACTCCTTTGGGTAGTGAAGGGCGGGGTATAAATCCAATCTCTTCTTCTTCTTCTAAATCCCTTTTAGTGCGTTCTTAAATACCTGCAAGATTCTCCTAGTGTCTGAAAGCACAGTTGGTTAAGTATTATGCATGGTAGCCAGCTTTGCTGCCTGTATTGGTCCCCCCCCCCCTTTTTTTTTTAAGAGAAAGAATGCTGGTCCAAAGGGAGCTGCAGCATTTGGGGCTGGATTGGCACTGAGATCCTGGAAAGTAGCCCTTGATAGGAATTTTTGATAGGAGTAATTTTTGCGATATGGTATGCCCTGTGCTGTAATCTATGGTGTGAGTATTTTCCTGTTGATATTTGTGAGGAGTCAGAATAGGCCAACAGAACAACTCTGCCTCAGCCCAGTTTTTATTTTTTAAGAAATGAGATTCTTGGCTTTGCCTGTTGTGTGTGATACTTTACATCACAGGCTGTCAAAATTGGTTTGGCCGAGGCTACCTGCCCAAAGAAGTCTATTCTTCAGCAAAAAAGAACACCATTGCAAATAAGCCCACAAGCCTGCACGTGCAGTCATTTACAGCCTTAAAGAGCCAGGTTCTCTGTTTGGTTGCCTGGAGCCCATTTTTATTCACCATAGGTTACCAAGAGAGAAGCCATTTAAATGTTTGGGATGAAAAATTACTGTCATTGCACCATGCAATGCTGGGCGCACATCAATCAATATTTGTTGTCCATTTAATCTTTTGTTTAAACATTTATGTACTGTCCTAAGTTCCAGGCAGTTTAAAATAATACAAAAATTCTAGTGATACAACACAACTGCCTTGGCCTGGAGAAAAAGATGTCATTTCAGTGGAGTGCAGTTCAGTGAAAAATTCATTTAGAGCAAAACGCTTTTGGCCCTTTACAAAAATCAGCAAGATATCTTTCTCTTGTAACTTGTTTTAGGAAGTTGATTTCAGAGAGACTACAGAGAGACTTCTTATCCCAGGCGTGTTACGAATTAATGTGGAAGAAAAGTGGTACCATCAAAAGTGCTCATTGGATTGACCAACTGAGCTACACAGAGAGATAGTTATTAATAGTCAGGTTTGGCCCATTGTCCTGTATAACCTGCTCGCTAACACACGTGGGGAGTATCTGTCTTCCTGCTCCGTTGTGAGCCTAGTATGGTAGGAACAGTCCCAAAAAGGTTGAGGAGAAGACTTTACTTCTGTAAAACACTTAATATTCGTTCCCTCTCTACTGATAATGCTTGAGACAGCTCACAACAATCATGGAAATGTAAGCCAAAGCAAAATCTAGCAGCAAATAAAGACTGATGATAAAAATTGAGTAAAACTTTTTAAAAATTCAAAATGCAGAACAATAGCAAGTATCTCATTCCAGCCAGCAAGCAATCACATGCCTCCAGCTGGTAATCAGGGCCACTTATGCTGTTTATCTAGTGAAAGCCGCAGGTCTCAAAGATCTCCACCCTCCACATAAGCCTATCCTAAACTAAGTGGCTTCAACAGACAGGGTCTTCTCTGTTGCAATGCCTTGACTTTGGAGTGCCTTCCCAAAGAAAATCCCCCAGCGACATCCCTATTGCAGTTCTACCCAATACCCTCTTTAGAGGTGGCCTTTGGTATCTCAGCAGTGGTGGCTGTGATTTGCTGTGCCTCTGTAGATTTGCTCTGCCTCTGATTATTATTGTGGTTCTTACTTTACTGATAGCTTTGCTGTTGAGTTGCTCAAGTTGATGTGTTTTAGAGGCAAGGCTGTCTTGATTATTTTAAAAGTTCTGTTCAGGTGTGTGTATGCTGTGTAAACATATACTGACCTGGGGATCCTGCTGCAGGACGGAGTATAAATCTGTTTATTACAAACAGTACAGAATTGTCCTCAGTGATCTGAAGCAAACAAAGCATCACTACAAGCAAAAATGAAGCAAAATAACTTCTTTATGATAGCCTGAACCTGACAACTTGTCATTATCTTCATGTTTCTTTGAGGCCTGTTTTATTCCTATTTGGACACTGGGCTGGTTGAGTAGATGGCTAAGCAAAGACATGGGACTGTTGATTTGATATGAGCCAGCTCGGTGTAGTGGCTAATGTGTTGGACTAGGATCGTGGTAACTCAGGTATGATTCCTCACTCTGCCATGGAAGCTTGCTAGGTGACCTTGGCCAGTCATGCACTCTCAGCCTAGCCTACCTCGCAGGGTTGTTGTGAGGATAAAATGGAAGAGAGATATACAGTGTAAGCTGCTTTTCGTCCCCATTGGGGAGGGAGACAGGATAAGAATAAAGTAAACAAATTAAAAATCTCTTAAGAAAATGGGCCTTGTCAAGGCAGATACTTGAGACTTTTCAGATTAATCTCCCCCCCCTTCATGTTTATGTATCTTTTTAGTTTTTTAAAAATTATTACTCAGTTACACCACACATAACCATACATTAACAAAACATAAGAAAGAAAAAAACCCCAAAAGGCAAGTACAAAACAAAAAAAGAAAATTAAAAATTAAAATGTTTACATTTAATGGTTAGTTTTAACAGGTTTTTGCTGCTTTATTGCCTACAGCAGCATTATTTATTAAATTACATATTTCTGTAAGTTCTTAGTATTAAATGGAGGATGAAGTGTTGTTGAGTGTTGGCTAGCAAAAGATACAAATGGATTCCAAACAGCATAATGTTTGCATATATTTTTGTTTTTTCCCCTTCTGCTCCTTGGCTAGTGAAAATTGTCATCCGGGGGGATAGAAACACAGGGAAGACCACTCTTTGGCATAGACTCCAAGGAAAGAAATTTGTTGAAGAATACATTCCTACTCAGGAGATCCAAGTCACCAGCATCCATTGGAATTATAAAAGTAAGTTCATGAACCTGTTGCCTAATCTGAGGCCACTGGGCATAGTCTGTGCTCTTTTGACAGCCAGTATCTGTTCAGAATATCAAGGACAAAATGGTTATTCTGTCCCAAGAATTTTTAACTGAAGATGCTAGGGATCAAACCAGGAGCCTTCTGTATTGCTCTGCTGCTGAGATGTAGCCTGTCCCCATAAGAAGCTGTCTAACACCGAATCAGACCTTTGAACAAGTTTGCCAGTACTGTACTCTGCTTGATCTTTCCCAGGGATTGAATTTATGCCATTCTTAATGCAAAGCAGGTGTTCTACCACACTGACCTGTGGTAAGTCACTGTTGTCGTGCTGCATATATGAGGGTAGAAAAATAGATTCCAAAAACATCCTTTTATGGGTTATTTATAAATCTTCTGGCAGTGGTTTGGGGCTTGAAAAATGTCTTGGTGGAATGTCATTGCAAGGTATGCCAGAGATCAGGGGTTTTAAGAGTTTTTTGATAACCCCTCCCCCAGCATAGGAGGTGCATTGTGATCAAATTTTGTCATGGCTTTAGTTTGTGACAGATGTTCTTTTTTACATTATGTGTCTTTTATCTTCCATTTGTAGCCACTGATGATATTGTGAAAGTTGAAGTCTGGGATGTAGTTGACAAAGGTGAGGTGATCTTTTTCTCCCCTTCTGATAGTACAATGTTTCTGTCTCAGTGTTCAAATTACTTGTGGCAATATTTGGAAACAGGTTTCTACTGCTAATGATACTTCCTTTACCCCCAGTGACTTAAATGTGTGTCAAAATAGTTTAATGCAAAAAAATCACAAGGGCTTCTGTGACTCCAAAGTAGCTCCTCACAGTGGAGAGCTGTTTGCTGCATATCTGATCTGATAATCTGAATGATCTACTGTTTTGTTCTGGCCTCTATCCAGTCAGTGTTTGCATAGGATTCTATTGTGTGTCTGCATCAAATGTGATCACATCCTTCAGTCACACTTAATACAGAGATGCAGAAGAAATGCTCACCCTTTGAGGAAGCTGCCTGTTGTATCCATCCAATTAGGAAACATACTTGGATCATTAACATGTGCAGAGGCCTGGGGGCAGGGGGTTAGAGGGCATTTAATATTTGTTTTGCACACTCAAATAGTCTCTCTTTTGGGGTGCAAGAATAAAGAACATTTCTGTTATTTAACTAATGAAGAAGGATACCTTTGTAATTAGTAGGGATGGGCACGAACCAAAAAAATCCATTTCAGGGTGGTCCCAAACTGAACCCTGAACTGAGCCAAAAATGCCCAAACAAGCCAGTTTGGATCCCCCTTTCTCCTGGCCACAGCAAGCTGCCACCGGGGGGGGGGGGGGGGGGGATTGCCCGGGAAGGGTTTAATGGCTTCCAAGTGCTTCCCCTCATTGTACCCATCCACTATTAGGCTTAAATGGCCCGAACACTGGAACCAGACAGAAGTCTGGTAAATGTTCAGGAGCTCCAAACCGGGCCAAGTCGATGCTGAATTTGGACTCATGAACTGGTTCATGCCCATCCCTAGTCATTACAGTTCTGGGACACCTTGCTTAAGCTTAATCAAAAGAATCCAGTACGATTGGTGTCAGATCATTGATATGACACCTTTAGAGAGGAGTAGTTTAACATATGTGGCTTGCAAGCTTTCATTGTTGTATTCATGTTTTTTACATGTTGTCTTTTCTCCCCTCCCCCACCATATGTTCAGGCCAAAAAATCCAGCTGCGTGACACTTCGGGTGAGAGTGAATTTAGATTAGACCTCAGCCCTTCCTTAGCAAAGCCTCTTGACCCTTCTGTAGCTGAATGCTGACTGGGTGGGCAGAGTCCTTGCTTCATCTTTTCTTTCTCTTATGTGCATTCTTGCAGAGTTGTGAGTGGTGTGCTATACTTTGCAAGGCTGAATTTGAAAGAATTTGAAACAGCAAAACCCGCATGTGTTGCAAAGTTGCGTGTTCATTTGTGAACTGAAAATTTGCTTTTCTTGCTCTGAAAGTGAATTAATCTGAGCTGGTAGCCCCCAGAATTTGATTTGGAGCATCTCCTAAGTATGTGAGATTATGCTGAGACATTGGCTAAAGCGCACACGTTCTTTCAGTGCATCCTGCTGCAGCTGTGGAGCCGGTATTCGCTTCAAGGGCTCTTATGCAAGTTTTGTTTAAATGAGTGGAGATTGCACAGCAACAGTTCTTGAAGGATTGCTCCAAAGCAGGGTGGCCAAATTTGCTTAATGTAAGAGCCACACAGAATAAACGTCAGATGTTTGAGAGCCACAAGACATGAACAAATATTACACACATGTTTTTATTGAAAAAATATGCAAATTTGCTTTTTATTAACATTAAATGAGACTGCCAAAAATAAAAACAAAAGGGGTAAAAACAGATACTGATAATGATATTTATCCAATGATATTTGTAGGCTTGGGGGGGAGCTTTAAGAATGCAGTTAAAGTTAAAGTTGCTTTCTTTCTCTGCTCCCCCCCACCTCAAGCCTCCCCAGGGAGGGGAACAGTGGCTGGGGAAGGGAAGACCGATCAGGGAGGCATGCCTCCCCTTCACTTCCCCAGCCGCCCTGCCGGGAGCCACACAATATACGTGAAAGAGCCACATCTGGCTCCTGAGCTGCAGTTTGTATATTGTCTATATCAGTAAGACATGGAATTTGGGATACAGAGATTTGGGTTTTTTGAAGTTTTGAGCTCCTAAGATCACCTCAGAAGAGGGCAGTGCAGAATCTGTCAGGTAGAAGGCATTTCACTACCTTGCACATGTGGGAATCCCTGAAGCTGCCTGAATACTGCTCCATGTATCTCAGCGCTACAGTAGGGAATGGCTCTTCAAGATATGAAGTGAAGATTTTCCCCAGTCCTGCTGTTGGAGATAGAGGGGATAGAGTTGGAGACTTTCTCCATGCAAAGCATCTGAGAAGTTCTCCTTGGCAGAGTTCCTTCACCTTCCTCCTGTTCCCACAACCCAAATACCATTTCTTTTTTCATTCCCTTAGTCCATCCTTTAAAGAGCCTATGGAATGTAGTAGAGTGTTGAGTTTGAGGCTGTGTTAACATGGTCCTAAGTGGAAGACTATTCAGAAGCCCTTGGCTTCTGGGAAACCTGTGTTCAGCTCTCCTGCTTGGTCCAGGCCCTACCTTGGTCATCTTGATCTCAATAGATAGCTCTAAACATTTGCACAGCACATTTTGACAATGGCCATGGGTATTGCAAGATTTTGAGTACCTCTGGGCTGAATTTGAGGAGTCGTGCACCTGTCCCTGTTCTTGGCCTTTTAATCTAAGCTGTGTATGAGACAGGATGATTTTTGAAATGCTTTCAGTTTAACTTCTAAACTGTGCCTTAAAATTATATACTTGCAATGCCACCCCAGTAGCAGTGGCATACTGTTTTAGAATTTGCCTGTTAGCTTCTTGAAGACCTTTGCCTGACTCAGCAGCAAGTTGTTGCCATCCAGCCCTTTTTAGCACAGTGGGGCACTGGATCAGAGTCTTTCAGAAATGAACTTTGCATGGCCAGGGAGTGTTGAATCGGCACTACTTTGTGCTTGGCTACCTCCATGCTAGCTGCACAGCACCACTGATCTGGAGCTCCTTAAATGTGCAGCCAATTTGCTGAAAACATCTGGGAGATGATGCTGTACAAAATGGTACAAGAGGTGGAACGGTTGGGTATGATGCTCCCTTCTTTGAGAGGGGAGTCCTAAGTGGCAGCTTCTCAACGAGGGTCCATTTCAATGCCCTAGTGAAATGGTCCTGCCCCTTCCTGATCATGGAATGTGCCTTCTCTCCCCTGCCCTCAGCTAGTTGATCTTTGGGCCTTGGTTCCCTCCCCCAAACCCATTGATTTCTGTCGTAGCTCCCCCATTTGTTCTGTACGACTAGTGACTCTTTGTACTAGTGAATGTTAGTAGGTTTCTAGAAGCTGCTGGTACCATGAATATAGTTCGATTCTGCCTGATCCCCAATATGCATACCCAGTAACCATCCTTCCTAGCCACTTTGTGGCTCTGGTTGCCCTTAGCTACCCTCGTCTCCATCAGCCACCAGAAGGAGCAGTTGCATGATTTGGGCAACAGCCTTGTAGCAACAGTTTGAAGTTGCATCGTCTCATAGCTTCTGCTCTTCTGCCAGCACAGCCTTTGCTGTCCCACATAGCAAGTTCCTTTTGTCTGATGCTGCTGCCACCACCAACTCTGTAAAGTGCTTTTCTAGACGGTTGCCTGGGGATTGCCTAGAGTGCACTTTCGGCTGTAACAAGAGGTAATGCTGTCCCAGTGCATAGTTGAGTATTTGCTGTCACCGTGTGTGAACTTCCTGTTTGTGCTTGCGGGGAAAAAGGTGTGCAGTGCAGGGGAAAAAAATCCACTAGCATGGCCTGGGTACTTTTCTGCCGAACCTTTTAATTGGACTGTTTCTGGTTGCTTTCAATAGGCAAATGCAAAAAGCGAGGGGATGGTTTGAAACTGGAGAATGACCCTCAGGAGGTAAGATGAACACTTCAGATCAATACTTGAGTCTGTCTTCCTTGTGATGTTTGTTGTTGAAATAGTTGACATGTGATGGGCACCTTCATCCCTGTTGAATTTGGGAAGCCCCTGAGTTCGGGGATTTGTGTAGAGGGCTTGGGCAAGGGTGGGCCTGCATGTCCAACTGGGGGTCATTCTGGTATGGGTAATGGAAGAATGGGCAGTTCCTCTGGTTGCAAAACAGCATAAAACATGACACAGTGTATCTGAGATATTGCTCTGCCAAAACACCTCCGTGCTACCCACTCTTCATGCGAGTCTCAGGGCTCTGGCATCTTGCTGTCTGTGAGGGCAAGGCAGAGTATAAATTTTAAAAATAAAAATAAGGTGTTCGGTCTTGAAGCCATTAAAAAGCGTTTGATGCATACTGCTTTCCTTAGTTCTGTTAGCACTTCAGAATGCTGGAAATTTAAATATAGCCTAGTAAAAAAAACTTTGTACATCTAGGAGAAAAGCTGGTAACTGGAATTCTCCTCCTTGTTCTGTCTTTCAACAGGCAAGGGAGTGTTGAGATATGCAGCCCCTCTCCTGCTGCACTGACTTGCACTGAGTAGACTCTATAAAGTATGGTGCATGTTTGTGGCACTAAATAAATACCCACTATAGTTCTGAGCAGGGGTCATTTCGTAGACAAAGAGGTGCAGGAGCTCATTAGCATAACTCATTAGCAGAACTTATTTGCATATGCCACACCCCCTGATATCACCGGAAGTGTGTCAGAAGGCAACACCCACCGCTCAGGCTCCACTGGACTGTTTTGGATTGCTAGCTATTGGGGAGGGGGGAACGTGCAGATCTGTCCTCGCAGAGGAGGGAGAGCTTTTACCTGAATAAAACTTGGTCTTAAAGGGTGCCACTGGACTGTTTTGGGGCGGGGGGGGGCTCTGCAACTTATCTGGCTGCTTTTTGCTCTGATTGAGGGCTGCTGGGAGCAGGGGGCGGGGCTTGTTGCATGTGCCCGCCCCCTGGGCTCTTTACTGCCGGAACTCCGCTCCTCCCCCTACCCTTACTAATGGCTTCCCGCAGTGCTCAATCCTTTTTTCCTTTACACTTCATATATTTACTTCAGTATTTTAACTTCTATTACAAGATAACATTTCTATCAATATTGTTCTAAATACAATAAATTGTGTTTCACATCCCAGTTTTCCTCTAGATAGTCTTTAAAATCTTTTCAGTCTTCAAAAAATTCTTGGTCTTCTTTGTTGCTCAGTTTTCTTGTTATTTTGTCCATTTCCGCCATAAACAACACTTTTTGTATCCAATCTGAGATCTCAGGCGTTGGAAATGACCCCTGGTTCTGAGTAGGCGGTATTGCACATCCCCTTGCCCCTGCATAGCGTCAGTCCCCCATGGAACAGGAATCATGTTACCTCAGAACAACATGTTACCTCAGCTGTGAGAATGCTTAGGATCATGGTTAGGATTTTTTCTCTTGATCTCATTCAGAGAAAAAACTCCGTGACTTGACCTTTTCATATCTTGTTGGGAGCGAATGAAAGATAGTTCCTTTTACTGGTGCTCCAAAAGCTTCATGGGCTGTGTATATCTCTGGGCACAATCAAGGTGTTAGTTTTGACCTTGAAAGCTCAAATTACCCTGGGGAACAGATTATTTTCATGTGAACCCGTTCTTTCACTTGTACCACTGTGGCCTTGCTCAGAATTCCTGTGCAGGTGGAAAGGGCCTTTTAGTGATTGCCTCCCTGTGACAGCTGCTTCCCCTGCCTCCCCAGCTTGCCATGTTTTGGAGGCGGGTAGAAGGCTTCCCTATCCTACCGGGACTTTAAGGATGGAGCTTGACCAGTGTTGCTGGATTTGCACATTTTTGTTATAATTATTAGTTTTTAGCATTTAATTTTTGCTGCTGTGAATTACTTTAAGCATTAGCAAGTTAAATAGTGATATAACAGTGTTGCAAATATGCTTGGGATCAGGGCAGAAGACTGCTATGTGAAGGCCCAGCGTTATGTATATTAGCCACTTTCAGTCTTAATATGTAAATTCCCTCGGAGAAGGCGGGGGAGGGGGGAGAAGCTGCCTGCCCATATAGAAAAGCAGCATATCCTGCAGTTGTGTTCTGCCTGGTGTTAACCCTGACATACATTTTTTTTCTAGGTGTTGGGAGGTTTATTTGCTGCAGTATACAGATGTGCAAATTGTCACCCCCCTCTTGCATGCAGGAAGATCTTTGCTATCTTACTTCTGTTGATGGTTTAATTTGTGGTTTAATGAGACAGACGTGCGTTTTTTGTGTGGATAGAACAAAACGTTCTAGGGGAAAGCATGTGACCCGAAGTTGCCTTGTAGGCATTGACCTTAAAGTCTCTCAAGAGATCCTTGTTTGCTCTGTTCCCTCAGCAAATGTTTAAAAGCCTCACTTGCAGTTTTGGGCTTGCAAACTGAATGTGTGGCATGGTAGTGCTTATAGGGCCTCTTTCGTTGTGATATCTCCCACTTAGAAGTGGGTGGTGAGTGGAGTGCGGACAGCTGGAAACAAGAATGGGTCTTTTATGTCTGAAATATCAGCAGATCAGGCAGTCTGTCAGCGAATTCCACATGTCAGCCTCGCCTCTGACTGTTAGGCTGTGACTCAAACTCACAGTTAGACCTGTTTGGATTGTTTTGGTTGTTTGGTTGCTGGGGAAACACAGTCACTAGGAAGCATTGGGCAAACCCACAACAATTCTGAGCCAAACTATACATGTTTTGTTCTTTGCTTCCCATCCCAGGCAGAGTCAGAGATGGCTTTAGATGCTGAATTCCTGGATGTGTATAAGAATTGCAATGGTGTAGTGATGATGTTTGATATCACCAAGCAATGGTAAGAAGCTGGAGTGTTGTACTAACAACCATTTACTTGTTTTGATTTGATAACCAGCTCTGTAGTCTCTGTCAGCTTTGCACTGAAGTTGGGAACTTTGTGCCAGAAAAAGCTGAATCCTGTGTGGACTAGACAATCTGCATAATTTGGAAAGAATGCAGGGCTGTCCCTTGAATTCTTTGATGCAAGAGACAGGTACGTGCTTAGGAATTTCTCCTGCTTCCTGAGAGCTCAGAAAATCTTCAGTCAAAATCCTAAAGCTCATTAAGTATGAAACTGCTGTGCAGGCTTCGTCAGGGGGGGTCAGAGAATTCACTTACTGCTGGACCTGTAAAAGAATTTAATTGCTGTGGACAGGTCCAGCACTAGGTGAATTCTCTGATCCCCTGATGAAGCCTGCACAGCAAAACACATAGGGGCTTTGTATGTTAATAAACCACTCACTCATCACCTGGCATTTCTTCCATTTTGTTCTGTTACACTGACTAGGAGCAGCTCTCCAGGGTCTTAGTCAGAGGAAGATCTCCCCTGCTGCCCAAGGTCTTTTAACTGGAGATGTTGGGGATTGAACCTGGTACCTTCTGCATGTGCAGCATGTACTGTAGCACTGAGCTGGCAGGTCAATTAGAAGAAGGCTGCCTTGTTCCTTGTCAAACTGTTGGCCCATTGTTTGCATTGGCAGTGGCTCTCCAAAGCCTCAGTCAGAAAAAGATGTTTCTCTGTATCTGCTACCTGCAGATGCCAAGGGCTGAACCCAAGACTTTCTGTGTTTGTTTTTGTTAAAAAATTGCTGTACTAGTTTCCCCAAGCTCGAAGCAGTTGCATGTGAGGCTGAACACAACAGCCCTTCCCCACTGTTCTGTTTGTGTGCACCTTTCATAAATTCTCTGCTGTGTTCATACACATTCGGGCCCAGCTGTGCCTACTGATTGCATATCCGTTATTCAGAAGTGGATGCAATTTGGTAGCAGGCTTACAGGCTACCATAGTCATGATTAAAGCCTGCTTTCTGTTTAATCCAGGACCTTTAACTACATCCTGAAGGAGCTTCCTAAAGTGCCGACCCACGTTCCAGTGTGTGTGCTTGGGAACTACCGGGACATGGGTGAGCATAGGGTCATCCTGCCGGATGATGTTCGGGAGTTCATCGATAACCTGAACAGGTGAGAGCAAATGCAGTGCAGCTGACTCTGCAGGCACAGAAAGTTTCACCGTCAGACTATCTGGCACTTGTTAAATTGCTGTCTCACAGTTGTCTGAATGTGGTGGAGCCCCTTTGGAATGTGAACGTGTAGGAATGAGTACCATGAGATGCATCAGGCAAGCCCATTCTGCTAATGATGGTACTTTCCCCTGGAGGAGATGGTGGAAAGTACCACTTTATTGGAACAGACTCACAGGCTGCAACCCAGTATCATCATGTAAATGAATCTGAATGCTGCTCTGTACATGCACCAGTCAAAAATGAGACTCCCTTGGCTGCCTCACCGATCCACAGAGTGCATTTTCATTGCCAGAGGAAAACTGTACTAAAAGTTGAAATGTGGGTGGATTCAGACAACCATCCCTCCCCACATCAGTGTATATTCATTTTTGTACCTTTTATTGTATTGTTTGCCTTCAGACTTCCATTTGAGTCCCAAGGAGTGAGCCCTTGTTCCATCCTAGGAGCTCCAAGGCAATCTGCTCAGCAGCTGCATGCCAGCTTTTCAGCAGGGCTGAAATGTTAATTTGCCCCTTGGGAAACATAATAAGCCCCCTGACAAGTTAAACTGTCAGCCTAGCTGTAATCTTGGAGAGATTACTCAGTGAGCGCGGCCTTCTTCCTGTACCACTCTCCTCCCTTCTCTCATGCGCAATGGTTTTCTTTCTCCTTATTTGATGCTGGGCAGACCTCCTGGCTCTTCGTACTTTCGCTATGCCGAGTCTTCCATGAAGAACAGCTTCGGCCTCAAATACCTGCATAAATTCTTCAACATCCCCTTCTTGCAGCTGCAGGTAAGAGTGCTTCCGTCCTTGAAAGCTCAGGTGGTCTTGTGCCCAAATCCCTTACCAAGTTGACTGCTGACCTACTCATTCCTGCAGCATGGGGGAGGACTTGGTGGGATAGTCTGGTGGGCCAAGCCCTGTCAATGGTCTTGTGCATTTTGCCATTTGCTGGGAGAGCTCTGTGCTGCTTGGGGCTCATATGCTAATGAAGAACTGAAGCACAGTAAATGATTCCTTCAATACACATACTCCAACCATGGAAGATAAATCTGTCATAGCAGTTAGACATGAGACCTAATAGCCTCTGAGCATTAGTTGCTAAGGGACAACAGTGGGCATTGTTGCTGCCTTGCCTTCCTTGTGGGCTTCTTGGAGGTGTTGGGCCACCAAAGGAAGGAGAGTGTAGGCCTAATGAGTCTTTGGTTTGATGAAAATCACATTACTGTTGACTGTTCTTCCGTGTGTGACAGTTGAATGAATGAAAATGTAAGAAACTTAGGAAGCTGAATTCTGTGTCCAGTGCCTTGTTGCTCGCAGCATATGCACTTGGCAGGTCTTGTGCCTACCTTAATGTGCCTTAACTGAATCTAGTGGGACAGTGGGCTCAACTAGATGTGATGGTGTCCCTGTGTCTACTGCCATTTTAAGGATGGAATTTTCTTCTTTCAAAAAAGCTGCAGGAACCTGATCCTGAAAGCCTGCCTGACGTTGCCTGGGCTGAGAATGCTTGAAAAATTGGGGGGGGGGGGCGGAATGGGAGCCACAGTAGCAGTGAAGGTGAGGACTGGAACTTGCTGGGCAATGAGGGAGCAGTCAGGGTTGGAGGAGAGCATCTCCATTGCTTGGCAAGCGCCACACCTCACCTCTGATGCCACTGCGTCTTCGGACTGCTCTCCCATGCTATTTTCAAGCATCTTCAGCTGTGGCACGGTTAGGTAGGCTTTCAGGGTCACAACCCCCCACACCATTTTGAGATAAAAAAATCCCAGCCTTAAAGTGGTGGCAGTGTCCCCATGGTGGACACAGGGTCACCTTCACATCTAGTTGAGCCCACAGAAAAAGAGGCTGAAGAGCAGGAAATTCTACTGTTGCTTGCCTGCCTGCTCTTGTTCATGAAAACCTGGAGCAGCAGCCTTTGATGCCTTGTTTTACAATATGACCTTTGCTGTCCCTGAAGATAAGTGGAAATGGAGAGCTTTACAAGGGATATTGCAGCTTCAAGGTGGCCAGAATGCAGTGTAACAGCTAGTGATAACTCTGCCATCTTGACCAGCCCTGCTTTGGCCATGAAGAAGCAGCTGCAGTTAGTTGAAATAGCATTTTTCAGACCTGGGAGGCACTGAGTGCCACTCCAGGCAGTGCAGAACTCACACAGTGTCCTTTTTTGTTCCTGTTTGGTTGCCAATGCCTTTGAATGATGAATTAGTTGGAATTTTCTGCTACAAACACAATGCGGAGCAGCTGGCCTGGCTTGTGGAGTAGAAGCTATATAAAGCTGGCACATTCCCGCACAACCTGCTGGAGCTGAGGAGACAAGACTGCCATATTGGGTCAGAACAATGGTTTCTGTGGTTCAGAAGTCTGTCTGCCAGGAGTGTCCAGGCGTATGCCTCGGAGTGCTTCTCAAAGAAATCAGACGTTGATATGCAGCTGCTTTTGACATTCCCTGGCATGTGACAGTCAGAGGAATTTAGTCCGAACGCTTCAGGGTTTCCTGGAGGATGCATCGCTACTGGACCCATTCCAGTCTGGTTTCCGCCCTGGCCATGGGATGGAGACGGCTTTGGTCACCCTCACAGATGATCTCTGCAGACATCTGGATTGAGGTAGGTCAGCGCTGCTGCTGCTACTACTTGATCTGTGAGCAGCATTTGACATGGTCGACTATGACCTGTTGACCCACCACCCCGCCAGTGTGGGGATTCAAGGGACTGCCTTAAAGTGGCTTGTCTCCTTTCTCTGAGGTTGGTGACAGGGTGACACTAGGGGAGAGAGTTTTGCCATGACACCCACTGGCACGTGGTGTCCCTCAAGGTGCTATTCTCTCCCCAATGTTGTTCAACATCTATATGCGCCCCCTTGCCCAGCTGGTGCAGAGCTTCAGCCTGGGTTGTCACCAGTATGCTGATGACACCCAGCAATATCTGTTGATGGACAGCCAGCCAGGTGCCACCCCAGACAATCTTGCCAAGGAGATTGGAGGCTGTGGCTGGATGGCTGAAACAGAGCAAGCTGAAGCTAAACCCATCAAAGACGGGTTTCCTGTGGCTGGGAAAGGGGGACTTGGGACAGGGTATCCAGCTCCAGATCTTGGACAACGCCCCCCCCCCCCCCAATACCAGTACCAATGGTGAAGAGCCTGGGCATGACTCTGGATGCCTCCCTGTCAATGGAGGGCCAGACCATGAACGTGGCCAGATCGGCGTGCTTTTATTTACGCCAGGTTTGGCGGCTGGCCCCCTTCCTATCTCGCCCAGACCTAGCCACTGTGATCCCACGCAGTGGTCACCTCCAGACTGGATTACTGCAACTCACTCTGCATTAGGTTACCCTTGAGACTGATCCGGAAACTTCATCTGGTCCAGAATGCAGTGACGAGGGTCCTAACTGGAACCCCTGTCAGAGCACATATCCAGCCGGTGCTCCGCCAGCTACACTGGCTCCAGATAGATTGAATTCTGGATCAAGTTCAAGGTCTGAGAAGCAGGTGTGTGGTATAGATTAAATGTTTCCTTTCCCAGAGGATCCTGGAAGAAATGCTTCTCTGAAGAGGTATGAGAGCTGGGGTTTGCTAACAGAGTTCTTAGCTTCCTTGGCAAACTACAGCTCCTTGGATTCCTTGGGTCAAGGCATGACAGTTAAACCAATATAGAGTGTTTGTAGTATATTATCTGGATTTTTGTTAGGCATATTGTGCAGAGCACTTCAAGCTTTCCTTGGTAGACGTTAGGGCTAGAAACCTACGTTTTAAAAAGCAAACAACAAGTATGCCTGGTTTTGTTTTGGATTCCGTGTATTCCATAGTAAAAACAATAGGGGCCCTAGTCTTGTTCTGTGACCTTTCATACTTTTAGGGTGATTTTGCCTATCATGGGAGGGACAAGAAGCCCTGTTTACAACTGTTGGGAACTGTACTCAGGTACTGGATTTTGAGATTTCACCAGGCATTGCTCGCACCCTTCTTGAGGGCTAGGAACTTGCCTTCGGGGGGGGGGGGGGAAGAAAGCCAAGATTTCAGGAAGCTGGATTCTGCACCCATCTCTGCTCTTAGTGTTCCTGTGGAGTTGTGGTATACACACACAGCCTTTGTATATGTTGAAACTGGTTTTTGTGTTATGTTTGGTTATTGGCTTCGTATAAGGCTCTTGGATATGGTTGTGTCAGTTTTGAGTTTCATGTTTTTGTCTTCGCATTATTGTGAAAGTGGAAGACAAAACATGGGCTGTGGCTGACACAGCCAGCTCTCTTTGGAAAAGGTGATGAGAAACCTCTCAGTTATCAATCCCTGTCTAACTCAGGTCTTATGATTTGGTCATCCATGTGCATGACGCTGTGTTAGAGTACAAGGAAGACAGTTCCTTGCCTGGGGGTCTGCAACCTGAAACCCATCATAAGCACATTCAGCAAAGGGAGGAAGAAAAGGCATGTGTGCTGCCATGAGCTTCAGCTTAGCATCAGCGCAAACAGAGTTGTTCGATCAGCACAGCTCTTGCTTAGGGCAGCCTGCAGGCATGCTTAAGTGAGAGGGTAATGACCAGGATCATGTGGACATATGCTTCAGATAAGATCTTTGTTCATGGAACAGTGCCGTGAGCCAAGCCTTTGGTTCAGAGTGGGGCTGCTCACAGTCTGTGGAACGACCACAGGACCATTTGCATTGTGGCACAGAACCCGGCCTTGGCACCTCTGCTTTCAAGCTTCAAAATGCACAGACAGTGCCAGACAACCTTGAAAGCCCCAATGTGAGGTGGGGTTGGAGGTAGGTCTAGGTTTTAGGGTGCTTTGGAGCAGAATAAATCTTTCACTGAATAAGTAGTGCACGAAGTTCAGCATTATCTTTATGTACCAGTAGAGGGTGTGTGTTTTACATACTTCAATATGCTAGGAAATGGTGAATCTTTGTACTGTAGCCAAGGTCCAGAGAACAGTGGAGGTAGTACCAGAAGCCCACAGCATTGGTCTTTTAAAACCGATTGTATTCTATGCTTGAAATCAGTCTTAGAAGGTATGTACAGTTTTAAAAGGAAAGGACAAGTGCATCAAGCTGACTGACAGATGCATCAAAAGATCAGCCCAAACCCAGTAATGGGCTGTGAATGGTAAAACCGTGGTCTCCAGGAAGAACTTCATTTTTGCTTCTCTTCAGAAAGCACTGATTTTTCAAATTTAAAGAGTGCACAAGTTGGATGAGACTGTCTCTTTTTCTTTTGAGCAGCAGACATGGTGCACCAATACTGCCTTTGAAACGGAGGGGAGCTCCGACAGCAGCTTGTGATCTGGTATAGCAAGAGTGGAGTCCGATGTTCAGTGATGGAGGAGAGTTATTCCCAAACCTTTCACATGAACCCAAGTTGCTCTAGGGCCTTTACGTGGACCCCAAAACAAAAGTCTCAGTTCAGATCAAATTGGAGAGTGAAGTTCTGTTCCTGTGTTATTTGCTGAGTTGCCCATCCTTTTTATCTTGTCCTTCCTTCAAGAAACTCAGGATGGCGTATGTAGTTCTCCTATCCTCCAGTTTGTTCTGGTAACAGTCCTGCTGCTACCAAGGAGATGAGAGTGTAAGACCGGCCAAGGCCATCTAGGGAGCTTCATAGTTGAGTATGGATTCGAAACCGGGTCTTCCCAGTCCTGGTCGGTAGTCAGATACTCGAACCATCATCCCATGCTGGCAGTTGTTCTTGCCCACAGGCAAGGTTAAGGTCGCCGCTCCCTGGACGTTCTGTCTCATACGGCTTCTCCTGTTGGTCGTGTACATTTCTGTTTTGCTTGGCTCCCTCCCCCTAGGCTAAGGCTGCTATTTAATTCATAGCCTTCTACTTGGAGCAGTGATACCTGGGTGCCGACACTGGATCTGGCTACATTCAGGTGGCCCACCTGGGGGATCTGTTACTTGGATGACCTGTCCTGATCCAAACTCCTCTTGTCTCCATCTCCCTCTTCAGCGAGAGACGCTGTTGCGACAGCTGGAGACGAATCAACTTGATATTGACGCAACGCTGGAGGAGCTCTCTGTGCAGCAGGAGACTGAAGACCAGAACTACGAAATGTACGTCTGTTGAGTTTTTCTGGCTGGCCTTCCTCCTCCATAATTTCTTAATATGGCGGCGGGATTTGAAGTCCAGCATAGCAAATTACTACAGTGTGGTCTTCTGTCCTGTTCCTCTTCTCTCCCCCTCCCTGCCAAAATAATATGGCTTAGAGTTAGCAGCATGAGCAGTGAGGGAAGACATGGCATTTTAAAAAGAAAGTTATGCTATAGAAGCTGGTTGACCTCCAGAACAGGGTTTGTCAGCATTTTTAGAGTGCCAGAGTGGAGAATGCAACAGGCGAAATGAGTCAATAGATGCTTAAACCTTAGTTTCCTCTCCCTCACCTTTTGGGATTGGGCTGGTGAGAACAGGAGCTTATATGAAAGGCTAAGGCCACCACCAGCCAGCGCCGTTACATTCTCAAAGGACAAGAAACTTAGGACGTCTCCTTCAAGCCACCCATGTGCCACATAGAGAGTTATTCTTGATGGCTGCTCTGCTTTGGAGAATTCTAACTTTACCCCCCCCCCCGACCTTCCATGCCATTTGGGGCCTTATCTAAACTCAAACCTATGCCAGTTTTTTCAGCCCTGTTAACTGGCATGGCACCTTGCAAGGAATCCTGAGGATTGTATTTCAGTAAAGAGTGCTGAGCATCCCATTAAGGATCTTTAGCCTGCTCTCGTTCCTCTCCCACACAATGCTTTTACAGTTCCCAGGGTTCTCTGGAAACAGATAAAGACTGCTGACCCATGTTTTTGTCTAGTGTGGCTCGGCTTGGAGCATTCTTTTAAAGTGTTGCAAGGCTGTTGGGGACTGGGCAGGGAGGAGTGCAGATGAGTCTGTTTGTTGTTCAGATGTTGCTGCCATCCCATTTAAGCAATGCACGTTCAGGCTATTTCCTGGTACAAGTAGAGATTTAAAATTTCAAAAAAATTTGTCACCATGGGAGAAAAACCATCCCCCCCCCCCCAAGAAAAAGGCAGTTTGGGGGAGAATTGAAATAAATGCAACATTACATTAACTTTTGCATCAAACCAAAAGTTGTTTTACTACTTTAAGAGAAAATGCATCATTTATAATTTAGCATAATATACTATTTTGCATGTTAATGAAATATAAATAAATGCTCTAGGGAGCGATCCTAAGCAGGCTTGCTAAGAAATAAGCCCTATTTTATTCAGTGGGGCATGCTTCCCAGAAAAGTGTATTTAGGATTGCAGCCTTAAAGTGCCATACTAATTAGTTATACCCTTCTGGAACCCACTGACTTCAAAAGACTTAGAAGGGTGTAATTCTATTTAGGATTGCACTGTTAATTTTCTAGAAGAAGAACTGTGAATACACCCCATAGTAGGGAGCTTTTCATTGTCAAGTCCATACAGACTGGGACAGAGTGCAGGAAATTTAACTGCTAGTAAAACTCCGTTTAAAAAATTTCTTTGTGAAGTCTGAAAAAAACATGTCTTGGTAATTTTGTGAGATTTCTGTTTTGAGCTCCCCCTAGTGGCATTTATATTTGGGATAGCTGCACAGGCCTTAGAGAGGCACTGTGGGAAAAGAAGATGTGGCTGTTATTCAGGCTTGCAAACAGCCACTCACCTGCTGTCCTGCAATGACTGAGAACCAGCCTGCAGATGATCAGGTAGGGAAGCATTACAAAAGGGTGTTTGTTTCTTCCTTTCAGGTGATAAATAACCAAGAAAGATGCATTTGGTCAGGCAAGGTAATAAAAAGTTCTATAGGCTAGTATTACTGTAACTGATGGGTTAAAATGAGAGTTCTGGTTCTTATTTTTCTCGGTACTTTCCTGAATCTGTTCTCCCCCTCGCCCGGACAGCTTCCTTGAGGTGATGGAGGCTCGCAGCCGAGGGCATGCTTCCCCCCTGGCAACCAATGGGCAGAGCCCTTCCTCAGGGTCCCAGTCACCGGTGGTCCCACCAGGCAACACTTCAGGGGGTTCGAGCCCGAGCACCCCCCAGCCGCCGCTCCCACTCCCTCAGCAGAGCCCAGCCATCCCGGCTGCTCCCCTGGACTCACTCACACCCCAGATGCCGGTGCTTCTGCCGGAGACCCAGCTACCCCCAGCAACAGCTGCCCCCACCCCTCCTGCCGCAGCCCCACCACAGAAGCGCAGCATCATCTCTCGGCTTTTTGGGACATCTCCTGCTCCGGAAACGCCCCCGCCTCCACCAGGTAAGGACAGCGGGTTCCAGAGTCTCTTTCCTCCTTGTGTGTTTTAGTTTGTAGGGTGGCGACTCCTGCACCTGTTCATTTATATAAGAATATATATCTCATTCCCCCTCGGAGGACCTCAAGTGGCTTGCCAAAGTAGAAAAACACACAGTGTAAATTAAAGCAATAAACAAAGAAAGTGGCAAACTGTATTCAAGTCTTGGGATGACCCTAGTTACCGCGCCTGACTCATATGAAGGTACAGGCTGTGAGCCACGGGCTTTTGGCTCTAGCCACACCCCACCATTATCCCTGCAGACGGGAAGGAGGCGGAAGAAGCAAGGAGTCTGAGGGACAGGGAGTCTAGCAGCAGCTTTGCTGAAGGGAGGGGGACAGGCAAATACGTGAAAAGGGGGGAACCACAGGGATAAAATGGGCTATGGGGAGAAGCCTCAGATGTGACCGTGAGGGCAAGAGCACCCCGTAGCAATATGCTGTTGTCAGGATGGGGAGCTTTGAGTGCTGAGGACAGGCCCATCACAAAAGAGTTCCCCACTTTAACGTGGGTGAATCTCCACATGAAGGTGCTGTGGGCCTCCAGGCCTAAGTAACTGTGCTTTGTACAAAATGATCACATTTGAATTTTTCATGCTGAACTTGAACTGAACTCTGGATGTTGCATTCAGAGGCTCAAGTGACTGCTATCACCAAGACCCCTCCTTGAGCTGCGGCTCCATAATTGATTGACTGGAGGGAACGTTCCAGCTTGTTGTTCTGGCTTCTCCCGTTCATATGTACCATATATTATCCGTGATCTAGCTGGAGAACAGCGATGAGAACATGCACTTGGAGTCCCAAAGATGTGAGTTAGTCATAAGGACGGAATAATCGAAGTCTGCCTGCCTTCTTTGGGTACTTTCTGGACACACAGTGCCTTTGGGCTAGGAGATATGGACAGGGTTGTATGTCCCAAGAACATCTGGATGCCATAGTTTATATTGTGCTTTTGCAAGGCTGATGTTGCGCCAAATTCTTCTTCCTCCAGGCATGTTGAAGGGCAAGGGAAATGGGGCCCTGCCTGAAAAGCTGGAGAACTAGTTCAGCCAGTCCTTAGGGCTTCTGAGGTTTCAACAGCCATTGCTCCTCCACTCTCAGTTTTCTCATAAGGGCTAGAAACTTGCTTTTAGAAAAAGATCCCACATTCTGTGTGGCTACAAAATTGCCACGCGCACACAGTCCTTGAGGAGATGTACCGCCAAGCATATGGATGAGGTCAGGGCATTCCGCAGATCTGCTACCTTGCCCCCCCCCCCTTCTCTCCCCAGGGCAGCAGGATAGTAAATGTGTGGGCCATCATGGGAACTGTATTGTTGAAAATGTTTTAATAGAATTTTTTTTAATCTGATGTATGTTTTATTTATTATATATTGGAACCCGCTCTGAGCCCCACATTAATGGGGGAGAGTAGGGTACAAATGGAAACTGATGGTGGCGGCGGTGGTCTGAGGGCATGCAGGCACAGTGCTCCAGGCCTGAGATGTAAGGGCTGTCGTTTTCCAGTTAGAATTTTTCTCTGCGTGGCACTGAAGCCAACGTGTTGAAATGGTTAAAATGTCAGAGTAGGGCTATGGAGCCCTGGGTTTACTAACATTATTTATGTAGAAGGTTCACATGCCGCCACTCTCGAGACCTGCCCAAATCCCCACTTCACCATTAAGCTCACTGGGGGACCTTGGCCTGATGGCACTATATCAGTCTAACAACTTGTCAGGGTCGTCATGAGGATACAAGTTAAAGAGCCAAGCATGTTACCTGAGCTCCTTAGGGGAAAGAACGTCATAACTGTCCATGGGAAAAGGAGTGCCTCTTTTGTCCCTGCTCCAGATCCTGCAGCTGCTACTTCTGCTCCTGAGGCTCCTTTGAACGTGCAGAGCGTGGAGGACTTTGTCCCCGAAGACAGCCTGGACCGCAGCTTCCTGGATGACCCCATCCCACAGAAAGACAAGGGGAAACTTCAACCTAAGCTGCGCACGGATAGTGATAGGTGAGGAGATGCAGAGTTGGAGGGCACAGTTTGTTCTCCAGCTTTTCAGTTGCACGAATGAGGGCAGTAGCAGGCAGGGACTTGGGCACCCTTCTGTAGTGTCCATGGGAACATATTGCCCACTTGTTCCTTACAAGGGAGGCTGATCTTCGGGAAAGTTGCATGATGATAATCGGAAATTCCTCTGCTCTTTGGAGAAGGAGTGGTCCACTTTCACACTCTTGCAGCTCACCAAGCTTGAATGTAGTTGGACAGCTCTGTTGTGAACTACCAAGTGCTACAGCAACCAGGTGATGCAACACCTTCCTTCCTGCCCCAGGCAAGTCCCTGGAGGGCTGCCATGTGCTCCTGGTCAATTTTGTTTGAATTGGTGGTTCTTGGGTTGTGCAGGCACTTTGTGCTGGCACCCTTTTGTAAGGGATGAAGCAGTCCATTTTCAGGTCAGGCTGAATTCGAATACCCCCTGCCTACCAGTCCAGATCTTCTATAGAGGTCTTGCATTGCCCTCTCCCTCACCTTCAGAGGTGAGATGGGTGGTCACAAGAGATGGGTGGTACCTCAGCCAGACACCCAACTGGGTAGTTTTAGGTGCTAGACTTTTTGTTTACTTGGCCATTTGGTGGTTGGTTGTATCTCACTGTGGCTTTATGACTTTTTCATTTGTGTGTGTGTTTTTATGCATCATGTTTTTGTGCTTTTTATGCTGGTAGAAAGCTGTTCTTGTTTTTGTGGATAGCTTTCACAGTAACCATCATCAAGCTGGGAGGCAGGGAGTTTGTAGCACACTAACCCATAAAATACTAACATGGGTTAGGGGTTCCCTCCGCACTTGAACTGCCTTCTCAGACCTAATTTGCACATTTAGAATAATCACAAAGAAAACCACCTAGCATTGTATCGCTTCAGGTAGTGGTGTGTGGGTACTTTCCTAACATCAGTAACTCCCTTCACATGGATAACTAGTGCATTGAGGAGCTGCCTAGTCTCCTTGATGTGCTGCTCTTCTAAATGCAGGGTGTTGTTTTTTAAAACGTGTGGGAACATTCAGTCATGCCTCTACTTGCAGTATGGTGCGCAGCAAGGACTATATCATGTGATGTTTCTGAAGATACAGTTCTGCCTTTGAAAACAGCAGTAAAGGTGGCCAGAGGGTAGAATCATGGGTGTAGATTTCTTCCCCCCTCCCCTTGCAGATGTTTTTGAATGGTAGCCCTGCTTGCATCTGAACAGAGGAGTCCCTTCTGCTGCTGCTGTGGGTCTCTTGCTGTTGAAGGCAAGATGGCTGCTGAGATCCTGTCCTCTGCAACACAGTTGGGCACTAAAGCTGTTCCATTACAAACTTGAAGCTGGTGGTGAAGGGTGGAAGTGCAGCCTTGTTGCTGAGAAGGGTTGTTGTCTCTGCCCCAGTGCTTGGTGCTTGACTTAGCAAGAGACATGAATTCCCATTGCACACTAAATTCCCATTACACACTAGAGCTACTTATTATTGCAGGGTATGTTCAGGACATTCCTCCTTCCCTACATCTTTTCCTGGTTGCATGCCTGCACCAGAAGGTGATGCTAATCCATTACCGTCACCAATTTGGAATGTTCTCAGGTGTTCTTGTCTATGGAGTTTGGCATGCTGTGGGCCACTGAGTGTTAATTTAGCCTTGTCAGATCTTGTTTGTTGCTGTGCTCGTTCTCCCCTCCCCCTATTTCATGGTCTTGCTTTTCCAAGCAGAAGCTAGAGAGGGAAGTAGTGAGCCTTATCATCAATTCGCCATGGATACTGGCCCAGATTGTGAACCAGCACACTGAACAAACCTTTTCAAGCTCATTTTTGCAGCCACAAAACCCAGGAGTTGCCGTTTATATGAAGCCAAAAGAAGCTGGGATCTTTGGCATGCTGAATTCTACCTTGGGCGTAGAGTGGTTGCAGATGGCGTCAGTAACACACAGCCTGTGTGTCAGTGGTTTTCATGCTGTCTTCTGGAGAACCCTGGGGTTCCTCAGGAGTATATTAGCTCCTTGATGAGATCAGTAATGGCAGATGAGTTCCTTGGAAAAAGACCTGGGTCACCGCTACTTGATCTGTCCCTGCAGTGTGCATCCACAGGGGAGCAATGTATATGTTCTCTGAGGTACTCACTCTGGTGAGCTGTGGCGCGCACAGGTCCAAATAGGCCTGGTTAAGTCTCCATAGCTCTGTTTGAATATCCGGCCAAATCATGGTTTTATACTAAATATAGTTCAGATCCCAAACCATTCTCTGAGCTTCTAAACCTATAGTTGGCAACCCAAAGTTTCAAGCTGCTTGTTCATTTTTGTTTCCCACCCTCCCAGCTTAATTCATTCACACTTGGTGCTGCAGGAGGTAGGAGCAATGACCGTAATTATGGTTTGTTCATTCTGAGGTCATGCCAAGCTCTCATTGGCTTAAAGTGCATTTTGAAAACCAACTTCAGATCATATTTTTTGGTTTGCAAGCTGATGGCAGATCATGATTTGCCAATTTAGGCAGCCTGCTAAACCCTAGCTAAACTACTTAACCATGGTGTGACAAGTCAGGTGATGTGGAAAGGCTTTCCGGAAGGAAGAGGTTTTGAAGGCTGCTGTCCTAGGTCACAATAAAGCTGACACTTTTCGCTTTGCAGGGCAGGTAGGGTATTTTCAATCCTGACTTTTAAGTCTTTCACATTTCATACAGTGACAGGGATGCCCCTGGAGGTAACCCGATGGTAGCTGGCTTCCAAGATGACCTGGACGTAGACGATCGCATGCCCAGCAAGCCCTTGCCGGCAGCAGAGATGGTACCAAGTAAAAACATTGCCCTGTCAAGTGATGAGGAGGAAGGGGAAGAAGAACACTCCAAATTCACCATCACAGCTGATGAAGATATTAGCTCTGAACAAGAGACAAAACGGTATGAGGCAGTCAGAGTCTGTGTTTGGGGGGGGGGATGTGCCAAAGGCAGTGAGCCTTTGCTTGTCCAATGGGCTTGTCCCTTCCTTTGGGATAGGCAGTTAGGGGCAATGCAAATTCGGTCTGTGTGGCAGGCCAGTCGATCATCTGCCTGTTATGTCAAGACTGCTGATAGTTCCGTACATTTCCATTCCTGTTGATACGTTTCCTCTTCAGAGTGTAGATCTGATTCAGTAATACTCCGAGTCAATTTGTTCCATTGGCAGAACAGTGGTGAAGTTTTTGCCAGATCATATCAGAGGGAGTGCTTGCAGGAAAACCTTTCCTTTCTGTATAACCTGTATAAATCTCTTTTTATTAACTGGCCTTTCAGCCCTCCCATGGTCAGTGGAGGCCTCGCCTCAGCCTCCCACTGCCCTGTATCTTTCTCACTTGCTTTGCTTAACTGTATGAACCCAGGTTTTGTGGAGTTCATGTCCTTGGTCCTTGCACAGGGCTGTTTGTTTTCATACAGACAAAAATATTTAAATGCTGTGCCCAGGCAATCCAGATTCTGGGTGAAGAAAAGTGGCGTTTCTGTGTCCTGTATAAATTATGCAGATATGCTTAATTTTGGGAAGGGTGTGAAGTGCACGTACACACACACACACTAGAAACTGTCAGTCCTAAGGGCTAGTAACCTGCTTTCTTTAAAGTAAAAATTAAGATTTCAGGAACCCTAATTTCACACCTGCATCTGTGCCCATGCATAATCACACCATGCCATACATCCCTGTACTTTTATTCTTAAACAAGGTACAGGAAGTGGAAAACCAGAGAATGCAGTCTTAAGCGTGTGTGTATTTCTCCCCCCCCCTTTTCTTTTAGGTCTTCCAGAAAGCCCTCGAACCCCCCGAAGCCAGTAACTTCTACCAAAGCAGTAGACCTGAAGGCTCCCACTGGCTTACCTGCTCAGCCCGGGCTTCAGCAAAATGGCAGCACCAAACTTCCCGCTGCTACAGTTGCCACGGAGGCCACCTCTGCCGCATCAGCTGCACCATCCCGTCCTCAGAAGGCCCCCACCCTGGCTAAGCTCTCTGCTTCTAAACTGAAGGGGGACAAACGAGAGGAGTCAGACAGCGATCCAGAAGGACCGATAGCTACACAGATGCTCTCATTCGTCATGGATGATCCAGACTTTGAAAGTGAGGAGTCGGACTGCCAGAAGAATAAAGTGGTAGGTCCACTGAAGCTCATATAGGGTGATTGTGCATAAGATGGACAGGCACATTTGGTATCCAAAGTTTAAATCGTCGAATTCTGCAATTTAAAAAAAAACTCCAAATCAATGTAATTCTGATTTTGTTAGGGCAAGCATGTTGAAACTCAGGCTTCAGCCATTAACAGCCTTACTCAGCTGCCTTCTCGGTTCTGACAAGGGCCAGCAACTTAAATAGAGTCCTTAATTTCTCCAGTAGTGGGTTTGTTCATATTGTGTCTACGATTGACACAATTTACCATTCTTTTTGGACTATTGCAGTGCCCTCAAAGTGGGGCCCACCTATCAAAATAATCACTCTTCCCTGGCCAGTGGGTGCTTAGTGAAGCAGAATATTTGATTTGCCTTCAATACCAGTTTCTTTAGGCAATTCCTTCTTGCTTGCTGCAGGAAACTTTGTTTTCTGGATACAGGGCTTTCCTGTAATAATAGGTCTGAGCTTGTCTTTTGACCCCGCTCATGCACCTTAGTGCTGTGGCCTGGCCCGGTTTTCCTGTACATTAAATGCAAAGTGTGGACACTTCTTGATGGCTAAAGTCCCAGATGGAGATGTCTGCTACCTGCAAATATGAATTGCACCACTTCCGTGCAGGTTTTCAAAGGGAACTCCTCAGTCAATGCTCCCTCTAAGCTTTCTTGCGAGCAAAAATCCTACTTTGTGCGTTACTGGCATTAAGCAATTTGGCTACTGCATAAATTAGTTTGCTCTGGAGCCATCCTTCCTGAGCTAAGACAAAAATGTGTGAGCCAGAGGCTAAAAAACTGTGAGCTAGATCACACTAACTCAGCTTAGAGGGAACACTGGTCATGAGAGCATTAAAATTGGGCTTTGGTTGAGGTGAAGCTGATGCCAGCTTTGCAGAAGGCGAGCCTTTTTGAGTGGGACCCACCCTGCTGTTCAGTGATACTGCATTTCCTACCTTGGCTGGGCACCTCGCTTGGCTCCCTTGAGCACCAGCTCATCTTCTCTCTTTCTTCTGCTTGTGCCTGTTTTTGGAACTGGCAATGCAGCCAGTCTCTCTGGAGCCAGGGCGATGCTGCTGCCTCAAGATGAGGAACAGCAGGAGCCGCTGAGAAGCCCTGCATTGCAGAGTGTCAGCAGGATGCCTCTTGGCGGTAAAAGCTCTTTGCTTGTAGTGCAGAATGCGTTGGCTGAGCCGTGAAGCAGCAGGAGCTTCCTTCCCAAAAGGAAGTGGAGGGAGGGGGAGGGCATTACAGGGCATGGAAAGTGGGTCGTGCCCTGGCCCCCACTGAGGAGGCGGGTTAACTGGTCGGAAAAATGTGTCTGGAGACTGCCAAACTGTGGGCAGTTCCTCCCATCAGCCATTGTGGAGCAGTGGTTCCTATCAAATGCCATTCCCTTTCTAGATCTGTCAGAGCGGCTTAGGAAGGACAACGTGGAAAGTCAATGAGGCTTGAATGCAGACCTCAGAATGACTTGTGTGTCTGGATTTCCTGGCTTGGGTCCCATTTCTCTAGAACAAAGATGGCTCCATAAGCTTTCCAAATACATGCATGAATTTCAAATGGAGAATAAGCACAAAGCATCTGATTTTCATTCTGGTTGTTTTGAGAAGGCCGTGGCAGGGGTCATTCCAAAACAGTAATTCTGCTGCTTGTCCTTTTGTGCTGTCCTCCCTGCCACTGTCCATGCCACTCCATGTGGAGCAGAGTCAGTTCCTCCTTATCTCCATGGCCTCAATCTGTTCCTTTATGCCCTTTGAAAACTACAGCCCTGCATTTTTTAAAAAATGGAACAAAGCACTCTATATAATAGAGTATTTGGAGCTCAGAATTTGCAGTTGGTTAGGATAATGGGGTGGTTGTAGCAGAATCATCACAGTCCCCACCCTGCAGGGGAACACAGGGTCCTGAGCAGCGTCTTTGATATGTTTCTCTCTCTAGGACGAGTTCCCTGTGCGAGAAGACCTCTCCGACATCTCTGACGAAGATACCACGTCAAAACTTCCACAGCCATCAAAACCAGTGATCCACTCCTTCAAGCCAAAGAACGATTCAGATCTCTTTGGCCTGGGCCTGGATGAACCAGGTCCCAAGGAAAGCAGCGAGGAAGGTGAATAGAGATGGGCCTCACTGCTGCTCCTACAGATCAAGTCTGTAGGCCAGAAGTGCCTTTGCAAGTGAGACTAGGACAAGTAATATTTAAACCGCAGGGTGCAAACTTTAGCATTACATGGGGATCTTCCTCCAGCTAGATCCTCAGTGAATCCTTGTCTGGCTTCCTCTATCTTTGAAACCCTTTTTCGGTCCCTAGGCAAAGGAAGTTTTATTTCTATCACTGTAAAAAAGCTGTTAAATCAGAGCTTGCAAAAGTACTGCAGCAGTCATTAAACAGTCTTCCTCCAGCTGGGTGTGTTGGCACTCCTTTGCAAAGGAAATTCCACCCCACCCCCACCCCTTTGGTCCACAGCAATAAAATTCCAGCTGTTAAGATAATGATGTTGGTAGCCATTAGTTCCTTTTTTTTAAGGTGGTAATTCCTGCTGCAGCTAGAGAATGCAGAGTAGCGATAGCAACCAGAGTCTGGAGTGTTGGCAGCCTGACAGGAGGTTGTGCCCAGCCCTCCTCCCCAGGGTCAGTGGATAAGGGGGCATCCCGGCCTTTCCTAGGATGCAGTTATCACTGCAGTGGCATGTGGTGCTGGCTCGGTGACTGCTGCTTGCAAATGCACTAATAGGCTGTTTCTCCACCTCTTCTCTCCCAGATAAGGAGAAAGAATCCTCCAAAGAGAAAAAGAAGAAGAAGAAGAAGAGCAGCAAAGAGGTATCTCACCCCACGTGGTACCAGATGCATTTGAAGAATCCTGCATTCTTTATCCTTGGCAAAAGGGCTGTGGTGATGGAGGAGTGTTAGGAGGGGAGGGTCTGTGCAGAAAGTGAGGCTACCTGGATTATGCTGATACATCTCAGCAACTTTATTAAAGACCCACACTTCTCCCTGAAAGGTACTTAAGGTGGTCCATGTGGGGCTTATCCCTTTTATACTCTCAAGAGCCCTAAACTTGAGAGAGTGACTTGTCCAGATCTACCACATTCTGTTGGTTCCACCACAGTAAGCTCACTTAGAAGCCATTCTGCATTTTACTTTTAGTGGGAGGATAAGCAGTTTCTCTGGAACCTGTGTGTGTGAGATTCCAGGGCGATACTCACTTTCTTAGGGATAATTTAAGGGTGCAGGGGTCATTTCGTAGAAAAAGAGCTAGGGGAACTCATTAGCATAACTCATTAGCATATGCCACACCCCCTGACATCACCGGAAGTGTGTCATAAGGCCACACCCCCTGACATCACCGGAAATGTGTCATAAGGCCACACACCCCGCCCCCAACGGTCCTGGCCGTCACCACCGGCCTTGCAGCTCCACTGCCGAGCCCCATGAGGGGCCCGGCGGTGGACCTGCAAGGCCGGCGGGAGTGCAAGTAAGCCCCGCGAAGGCCCTCCCTGGCCCCAGGCAGGCAGGGGTGGGGAGAGGCAGGGAGGAAGCAACTTACCTTTCCTCTTCTCCTCCTGGCTGAATGAGGGCCGGAAGCGGGGCGGTCGGAAGCAGGGGGCGGGGCTTTGTCATGTGCCCCGCCCCCCGGTACCTCACCCGGGGGAACTGCGTTCCCCCGCGTTCCCCCCCGAAATGACCTCTGTAAGGGTGTATTTTTAAATAAGGTTTGCTTGGTGTAATGCAGGAGATTCTTGGGTGGGGGGATCACTCGTTGGCATTGGTAAATGAGCTTCCCTGCAAGACAGTGCCTCCTGGAATGCAGCTGCAGGGGAACATTTGTTCTTGGGTCATGCCAGATGCCAGCAAGGCCCAGCAGGCCTAATCAGCGTGCTGTGGGATACGAGTGGGGATCCTGGAACCCATCCTGGAATGTTCTTCAGTGTACTGAGGTCCCATGGAAGGCAAGTTGAAACCTGGGAACGTCGTGGAGTAAAACAGCAGCTGGGTGCATGCTCCAGGGAATCACCTGTTCAGATCTCATTGTGGCCTTAGTCACAAAGGCACTCTCAGCCCTGGCGCTCTGTTTTCAGTTGGATAGGGAAATGATATGTGTCTACCATGGTGTAAGGGGTACTGAGTTAATATAGATTGTGTAGGATGGGATTGTCCTTAGTTACTGATTAAGGACTTTAAACCGTATATGGGGGTGGGGAGCATGAGGTGTTGAGCCCCTGTCAGGACTGTACCACTTCAGATGCCAAGTGGAGGACTGCATGAATGACACTGCACACACACAAAATTCCCTGTATATTGTGAAGGAAGTGAAACTAGAATTTCTGTGAGCGACTAGGTTTTTGTGCAGAAAACCTTTTTAACATACAGAGGACACACCTCCCAGAAGTCTGAAGTGGTATAGTCCTGAAATGGGTTTTAGCACATCGTCTTCCATAAGTACATCTCCAATGCAATAAGCAGTCCAATAAACTACAAGGTACATGAGGGTTAAATCCTCCAGAATAATAGAAGCAGCACTTGTAGCTTTAAGAAATTAATTCCCTCAGTGGCCATTGCTAGGCAGGCACAGCAGTATTGCCAGCCTTCGAGCCATGGTTTCTGTCAGTAAAAACCAGGAGGAAGGCGTAGGTCCTTTTCCAGGGCTGCTTCAGCCTTTGAGGGATGACTCATCAGGTCCATGCCTGGCAGCAGCCACTGAATAACTTGATACCACATGAGTTCCATGACTTATCCAGGCCTGGCTGCTTGTTGCTATTCAACAGCAGCCACCCCATGAAAGCCAGTGTAATTTAGTGGTTTGTGTTGCAGACTAGGATCTTTGAGATCTGGGTTCAGATCCCCATTCCATGGTTCTCTTCATTGGGTGATCTTGGGTCAGTCACACTGAGCCTAAATTAACAAACTCCCTCCTGGGGTTGTAGGAAGGATAAAATGGAGGAGGGGAGAATGATGTAATTGGCTTTGGTTCCCCAGTGTGGAGAAAAGCAGAGCATAAATGAAGCAAATAAATGTAACTGAAGATGGGGGCCAGATAAAAGGTAGGTTGGGGTGGGTAGGAGAAAAGGAAGCAGGGAAAGAATGATATTGGGGCTACCAGGAGGAGGAAAAGAAGAAATGTTGTGTGTGGAGGGGAACAGGAGAAAGTGATGTATCTCCCACAATTCCTTTCAGGTTTCCCCCGTGCAGCTGGGCCTGGCCTAGCGGCTGTAAACCACACAGTGTTTTCCTAGACAGAGGCTGCCAGAAGGACAAAAAATAACAAAACAAAAAAGCTTCAGATTAGGGGGGGGGGCAGATGATGGTAGGCTGGCTGATAGATGAGAAGAAAAGGAAGCGGGAAAAGGGATGCTGTAATTGACTTCAGGGAAGGGAAAGCGGAACTACTGTGTGAGGGAATTTGCAGAGTGGCACCTTCAGAAGGCTGAGCTCACATGAGCGAAGCCGTCGAGGTGAGGCATAGCAGGAGAGGTGGGTCCTGCAGTTATATGGGTCCAGGGTCATTAATGGCTTTGGGTAAGCCTCACCAATTACCCAAACCTTGATTTGGACCCAGTAACTGATTGGAAACCAATGGAGTGACTGCAGAATGGGTGTGAGATGCATGTCCTGGCTAGCTCCTGATAGTAATGAGGCTGGCACTTGAATTGTCTTGAAGGGCAGACCCATGTAAGGTGCATTGCAATAGTCAAGCCTTGAGGTAACCAAAGAATGCACCCACCAGGCCAGATCAGCCAAAGTCGAGGTAAGAGGCCATCTTTTGGGATAACCTAAGCTGGAAGAATGCCTTTTTTTGTAGCTGCATTAACTTGCTTCTCCAGCAGTAAAGTTCTTAGCAGAGTCAGTGAATGTCAGTTGGACCCCCATCAAAAGCGGGAAGGACAATGTCCTTCATGACCTCAGCCTTCCCACCAACAGTACTTCTGCCATGTCAGGATTCAGCTTCAACTTGTTCTTCCTTTTCCACTTGACCACAGCAGTAAGGCACTGGCTCAGGACCTCTATAGAAATATAGAGCTGTGTGTTATTAGCATATTGATGACTGCCTGCTCCAAAGCCCCAAGTGGTTCCCCTTACGGGTTTCACATAGTCTGAATGGCATGGGTGGTGGTAAAACTGAGCCTTGTGGAAGCTCACCGGGTGTTGGATCCCCAAGCATCGAGAATAAATCCACGTTTTCAAGAAAAGCAAAATTTATTTCAAAGCGTTGAAGACATACTCAAACACGTTCTTTGTTAGAACTGGGGATACACAGTTAGGGCGAGCATAATAAAGGAAATTCAAACAGATACATATCCAATGAATAATATTCCCGCTGGCGGGCTAATGAAACGGTTGCGCGCCCAGTCCATGGGAACCAGGCAGAACATCAGACAAAACACAGGTGCAGTTCTCATGAGATAGCAATAGGCAAGCATTACAGCATCTTCTCCCCCACACATCCACCAGTAGTTATCTTATGCATTCCAGCACAGAAGCAGGATAGTAGAAACAAGCCGGGTGCAACAGGGTAAGGATATGTACACAGAGGTCACAGAAAACAGAATGGCAGCTTGCTGACACCGGGCAGGCCTCACACAGATGACAGCTGGTCTCCAACAGCAGCCCTCTGAGACCAACCCATAAGGATTGATTTAAGCCAGCCAAAAGCAGAGTGGAGGTGAGGGGAAAGAATAATTTCCCCTGCAAACGGAGACCTGTTTTGAATGAACCAACACCTTTATTTTTGAAAGCAAAAAATTCTTTTCCATGTGCAGAAGGCTCAGATGAGCCCCTGCCCCCCCCCGGCAGACATGGGAACAATCTTGTTTGTCGGGGAGGGTGAGCTGTCTGCTGAGTAGACTTCTCACCACCGTCACGTGCCCTGGGCTTCTCGTTGGCTCGGCTTCTCACAGCATGTGCCCACTGTAATTGACTGGCCTGCGGTCAGCTGTGGGCTAACCGTCCTCCCCGGGCCAGCTGAGATGCGCCAGGCAGCTTCTCCGTCTCTCTGCTGCCCTGCACTGCTGTTATTGACATATTCGAAATCAAAACTTTCCAGCCCTTTGGGATTCCTAATTCCTCCAGGCAATTTTGCAGGCTTCCGCCTATAAAATGAATCCTCTCTTCTGCTTCTTCCCTTGTGCAGGAAGAAGAAAAGTCAGCAGCAAAGAAGAAAAGCAAGCACAAGAAGGTCAAGGAGAAGGAGAAGGAGGAGGGCAAGGAGGAGAGGAAGAAGAAGAAGAAGCGGAGTAGGGAGAAGGACAGTGGGATTGATGAACTGGAGGCCTTTCTGGGGGGCGGGGCAGGTGCCAGCAAGCTGCGCGGGGGCGGAGACTATGAGGAACTGTAGCCCCATCCTCCTGCGCCCACATTCCGCAGATGCTCCTCGTGGTAGGTTGCTGGAGGGGCGGATGGGTGAGACTGTGGCCCTTTCTGCCGCGAAGACTGCTGGAAACACAGAAGGCTGGCAGGACAAAGAGGGGCTTTCTGCCTGGGCAGTGGGATGGCAGCGAAGCTCAGCCCTGGAGGTACTTGGGGAGGGGACGGGCCAAGCAACGGCTCGTTGGCTATCCAAGGCTCCTGAGTCCCTGCTTTGCAGCCTCCTTCCTGAGAGACCCCAGGGTCAGGCTTGGCCAAGGGAGGAGCAGGGGGTGCGTCCTCCCCATCCCGGCCTCTCTTGTGCGCACCACCTGTCTCACCGGAGGAACGGAGTGGATGGTGGCAGAGTGCTGCTCTCGCCCTCTGAAAGGAACCACATCTAATTATGGATTTGTGCTATTTTTTTACCAGAGAAGCGGTTATTGACTGGCTCAACTGAGAGCTTGCAGGAATAATGCGGTTGAGTTTCTGAAAGCTGAAGGGTTTTGGCAAGGGGGTGAGGCAAGGGGGGGAAAGGGAGGCCATTAATATTGCACTGCAGCCCCATTACCCTTTCCTGCTGTTGATGCAGGGGTCCTGAGGGCCCTGCTGGTTTCTACAGCCCCCGGTGTCCCTGACACTGCTTGTAAGCTGCTGTGCAGTTTGGGAAGGAAAGGCTGAGTTGCCTGTTAAAAACGTAGGAGGAAGTCCCACCCCAGAACCATTGCCCCACGCCTTCCTTCAGTGTTGTGTTTTGCGTATCTTGGAAACCAGCCCAGGAAAAGTACCTCTCAGGGACTGTCTTCAGCACAGAAGCGGAGTTAACAGAAATCCAGAGGGTTGCAGGAAAGATTTTTCTTTTCATAATGGGAGCTGTTTGAGAATAGCCCCCTCGGCTGTCAGCTGCCTCTAAGCAAAGAGCTGGGGAGACGGGCGAGAGGAGGGGGATGGCTCTGCTTTCTCTTCCCTCTGTGCCAGCGGCACTGAGCACCTGATCAGGCGGCATGTCGTCCCCTTTTGCCAGAGTGGAGCACGCCTCATCATGTGATTTTGGAAACGTTTTTGAAATCTGACCCCCTGAACCGGTGCATGTTTTTGGCCGGCTCCTGATACCAGTTTGCCTGCCTGTCTTGCCTTTCTGTGTTCCAGTGCGTGGCTCCTGTGACCCTCTGCACACCTCCTTTGTGTTGCTGTGCCCCCCCCCCCGACTGCCCTCTCCAATCCATCCCAAGGAAGACGGGCTGTCAGTTTGTAAGCCTCCCATTGCCTTGTTGTGTGTGGATTGGATTTGGGCTGTTTTTGACATTCCGCCCCCTTCCTTCTCAGCTACCTGCAGAGGAATCAGGGTGATCTCCAAGCTGAGCTGATTCCCCAGCGGCTGCTTTGGATCCAGTCTCCTCTTCAGAGATCTATTTCCCTTTGAGAAACGCACTTGTGATAGTTTGCATATCAGTCCAGCTGCCACGAGTCTTACTGCATGAACTGATCATCTCAGGAACCTTCTCTCACTGACCGATCCTCGGTCTCTCGGTACAAGAGGCACGTTGTGGCGGGGAGGGGGAGGACTGTGCATGGGAAAATCTTGAACCATCATCATCTCCTGGGAGGAGGAGCCTGCCAGGGTCCCCTGAAACAGTTTCCACGAGCCCCTTCTCTAGACACACACCTGAGCCTGACTGAGTTCCATAAGAGTGTCTTGGTCTTTTTTTGTTTGTTTGTTTGGAAAAAAAACTCCAATGGTGCACTCCATTCCAAACCTATAAAGCTCTCGGTTGTACCACTGTGTCTGTGTGTGGTTTGTGCATTTGGGCCGGGGGAACCTTGGCCCCCCTTTCCTGGTCGGTTTTGGTTTAAAAATGGTCCCTTCCTTCTGGGCTAGCCACAATCCAGGCTTGTGTGCACAGAGTTGAGTGTTGTGGTGATTTTGGATTTTGTTGCTTTAGCCCTGTGGGGAGCAGAGGAGATGTTCAGTGCTGTGTCCACAATGTTGCTAAAATCTCTGCATCCAGGGAAGTAGTTGAGATTTTGCCGGGGGGGGGGGGGGGGGGTGGGCTCCGGGCTCGT